GATAGATCACTGAGTATGATAGACTCTAAATCCATCCAAGTTGCTGCGAAGTCCATATGTGTGTCCTTCTTTATGGCTGCAGAATACTCCATTGTGTACATGTACTACGTTTTAAAAATCCAGTCCAGTTTCAATAGGCAGCATGGTTGGTTTCATGTTTTTGCTGTTGTGAATAGTGCTGAAATAAACTTGCGTGTGCAGGTATCTTTAGTGCTAGTTTCTAATAATAGCCGAGGTTGCTAGAGACAGCATATGCTAAAATAGCCACATGTGAGCCCTCCGTTGTCCCCAAACCCACATCTGTTTCTTCCTCAGTTTCTGTATCTCAGAAAAGAGTCTTCGGGGTGGAGGGGAAGGGAGGTGGAATTAACGGTAGTCAATATCTGTCTGGGGACGGGGAGACATCCCTTATCGACAAGGGTGCCTGAACGAAGCATATTTGTATACCTAACCCTAAACTGTACCCCACAATATCAAAATTAAAAATATTGATATAAAAAAAAATTGATGGGCAATTCGAAAAAAAAAAAAAGAAAAGGGTCGTCTTGTCCATCCAGGTTTTCAGGACAGAAATCTAAGACTTGCCCATGCCCCGTTAATCTCATCAGACAGTGCCACCAGCTACAATTCCAGAATATATCCTCATTGACACTCCTCTCTATGACTTCCCTGGATGATCACACTAGCTTCCTACCTGGTCTCTCAGCTTACTCTCTCTCCAGCCCACCCCTCCCTACCACCAGTACTCCACACTGCAGCCAAGGTTCTCTTTCAAAAACCCCAATCAGATCGTGTATGGCTAAAATAAAAGACTGGCATGCTGGGCATGGTGGCTCATGCCTGTAATCCCAGCACTTTGGGAGGCAGAGGCAAGAGGATTGTCTGAGCTCAGGGGTGCGAGATCAGTCTGGACAACTTGGCGAGACCTCATCTCTACAATAAATCCAAAATTAGCTGGGCATGGTGGCATGTATATGGTTCCAGTTACTTGGAAGGCTGAGGTGGAAGGATTGCCTGAGCCTAGCAGGTCAAGGCTGTGGTGGCTGTCGGACTCTGACTCAAAAAAAAAAAAAAGAAAAGAAAAACCAGAAAAGAGATAGACATGTTCTATATAATGACCTAGGGGTGGTTACACAAGTGTAAATATCTGCTCATTGAATTGTTCATGTATTATTTGTACACTTTATTGTAGTTATGTTTTTTTTGATTTTTTTGAGTTGGAGCTTCACTC